GACCTCCCTATAACATGGTAGATACGTTCCGGTTTTTATGAATCCATTTTCTACGAGTCCAGCCAATCACAACCCAGCACATATGCAGTTTACGGACTACGGCTGTTTGAAAGGTTTCTTCCATAAAATTAATCGATTCTAGACTAATTCGATTCAACATTTCCAAAATACATATAATTTTTTGGAAATAATCCATATAAACTATGCTATAAACAAAAAATTGTAGGATTACTTACTGAGTGTGTACCATTCGATCACGCCATTGCTTAAGCTTGTTTCGTCGTGGAGCTTGTCATTGAATGGTGCTCGCATGCTTCCTGATAATTTATTTTTTTGCGAAAAATTCACTGAACTTTGGAGACATCATTAATATAAATATAATTTTTATGGACATTAAATAAGAAATGGTTTTTAGTAGGTCCGCTGCTCGTTTAAACTCAACGGTTTGTACAATATCCGCTATTGGTCTAGATTCGACCAATCCTGTCGCGACACAAGTCGGCAATGACGTTTTACTGAATTATAGGAGTTTTTTTTTTTTTAGCATGTTTGTACGAATAATGTAGTAATTTTTTCATTGTGATATAGGAATCCAAACTATAGGAACCCGTGTTATAGAGGGTTTAATGTATTGTGTTTAATATATGATTTTATGTTTTAAAAATCAAATCATGAAATATTAAATAATATGCATAATTCTAAATTATCAGACATTAAAATCCTACTTAGCTTAAAGTTAATAAATAAACTAACAATTCTATTCTAGTTTTATTCTGGATAACCACAATACTTCTATTCATGATATTAAACTAGAAGAAAACTTTAGTTTCAACAATATAAAAATAATTATATGATCATCAGTTCAAAAATTATCAGGTAGGTTCTAGAAGTAGCATGATTTAATTTTGATGTTTGAAGTTCTGTTCATAAATAAAAAGCTATATACCAGTAGACCTATCACACATACATCAAAGCATACAACTGAATGTGAAACAATCATAAAAATAGATACTTTTAAAGAAATTTAATGTTTGAAAAAAGAAAGTGACTATTATGTTTGAAGTTTCAGTTAACTTTTGAGAAATAATTTATATAAATATCTGTATAATAATATTAACTTATCTACATTTTTTCTAAATGTTTTCTTTTAAAAGTAATATTTAGTTGCTCTATCCAAATATTGTTATTTTCTACTAAATTAATTATCATTCTAATTCTAATGAATAATTATTCTATTGCCTGTATAATTTAACAAAAAATTGTTAACATATCAGGTCATTAATAATTTTTATACTGGATAATTCACAGATTATTTCTGAAGGTCATTTTGTACCTGATGTAATATTTTACTAGAGATAAAAAATATGACACTGTAAAAGTTTTTTCATATTAAAATTATAAAAAGTATATTAATATGTAATGAATCTTACTATATGTAGTTCTGGAAAATTAATCCATTACATAATAATGGAATAATTTTCTAGAACTATTATACATGGATGTTTTATGACATAATATAAAAATTCTGGAGATGTGTTTATACATAATGCCCATGTGTGCATATACAGTACATATATACAAACAAATATATTTTTCTAAATGTGTATGTATGTATATACAGTCCATTTAAAAATTATAAACACACCCAACTTTTTTCAATAACAAAAACATTAACAATTGTAATTTATTTATTATATTAGTATGTTGTTTACAACATTAATTTAAACATTTTCTGAAATTTTATAGCAATCTGACAATTACAAAAAAAATTATCACAGTTTTCAATTTTTGATTGTTTCAAAAGTATAAACACATGTACACAAAAAAACAATTTGTGGTGTTTTAATATTTTGTAGGTTCACCATTTGATTTAATTATTTCAAATACTCTATCAGGCATACATTTTACTAGTTTTTGAAGTTGTTCTTGTTTAATATTTTCTCAACAATCCATGATAGCTAATTTCAGTTCATTTACAGTATTATACTGTCTGTTTTGGCCATAAACAAGACGACTCAATGTCCCAAACATTCTCTATCAAGTTCATATCAGGGCTCCATGATGGCCAATCGATTATATTAATTTTTTTCAGCAAACCAATTTTTAGTTGACTTTAATGTATGAATGGCAGCATTATCCAATTGGAATTGCCAATTTTATCCCCCAATAAGTGATCCAAAGTTATTAAATTTTGATACAACAATTCTTGATACTTTTCTAAATTCATTCTACCTTCTACAAATATATCTGTTTTACCTCCCCATCCAAATCCTGCCCACACCATCACAGATCCTCCACCTTGCTGTCTGCGCAATCTGACTTTTTCATTCTTCCTCAAATCATACCAGTAGTGACTATAACCATCAGGATCATCCAAATTCCACTTTTTTTCATCTGAAAAGACTATTTGTTTCCACTCCTCTTTCCATGTCATCTTGTATTTGGCCCACTTTAGCTGTTTTGTGCAATTGTGTTAATTTTGGTTTGGCAGCCATTTTTGTAAATTTGGCATTTTTATGATTATGCATACATCTCCATACAGTTGCTGGTGAAACTGCAATTGGCAATGTTAATACTGCTTCTCTGACAGACAACTTGTTGACCATCAGTAGCTGAAAAACCTTTCTTTCGTTTCTAGGAGTAAGGAGTTTAGGCCTTCCACATCACTTATTTCTGCCATAATATTCACCCTAAGTTAACACATTTCTCACAGCATGTGTGAATCAATTTATAGCTGCCAAAATTTGTCTTAGAGATTGTCCTGGTCCTTTTTGTTGGCAAATTTCAAATATTTCCAACTCTGTTAGTGTTTTTCCACGAGGCATTGATTTAAATCACAAAAAACCATTTAAAATTGGCACCATGTTTTTAATAATAATTGTCACTAGAGGGAAACGGAACTATATACATATAAATACATATATACATATTAAGAAAATTGACTTTTTCAGACAATATTCATTTAATGTAGATCAAGTCACATATAGTCAAACAAATATGATATGAACAAAGTTTTTAAACTAATTTTACAATTAATTTATAGATTTTATACATATTTTATTAAAAATTGAAATTATTTTTGTAAGCAATAATAAAATTTTGTCAAATATTGTTAGTAAAAGTACTTTTGTATAAGAAATTTTATCAATAGAATTCTAAATTTAGAAATTATGCATTTAAAATGCTCAGTTACAATGTATTTTAGTCAAATATTTTATCTGTATACAACAGTGTATTCAGTTCCAAATGTATAAGTAGTTATAATAGCCAAATGTATTACAAAAAAATTATAATAATAATCTTATAAAACTGATAATTTTTATTAAATTATTCAGAATTAGAAAAATTAGTTCAAATTTATGATAATGATATAAATATATAAATATAAATATTTATGATAAAGTATTATAGGTCAAATATTCTTTTAACTTTCTGGTCTATAATTTATGAAGTTAAAATATGAAGTTATAGTCATATTTTCATACATTAATTTTTGTGCAAGTATTTTGTAAAATTTATAACAGTAAAATAAGACATCAAAATATGAGTTGTTAATAATGATTATAACAAAGTATCTTAAGCAAACTTGTTCAATCTGAATTTCTAAACTCTCCAAGTTACAAAAAACTTAAAAAGACATACTGTATACCCTTCTAATAAAATGAAGAGAAGAGCTTTAAAGCAAACATCACAGTTTGGTATTTACTAAAGCATTAAACTAAAAATATCCATGGACCATTACTGTTTCAAATTACTATTGTTTTAAACCACTATATTGTTTTATTAAGTTTAAAAATCAAATTTACACAATTTAAATTCATTATTATCATTAAAAATATTTTATTTATTTTATTAAAATTTAAATATATGCATATATATTTAAGTAATTTAGTTATCATATTAAATATGAAAAGTCTAGCAGTATCAGAAAACTAACAATTGATTACTTTATTTCTAATTTCCATTTTTAATTACAATTTCATCATTTCATTTAATTATCAAATTAAAATATACCAAAACAAAGAAGAAACATTTCAAAATAAAAAGAATGTGTTTGTCCTTTTCACACATCTTAGTAACACAAAAATCTCATGGAGGCTCTTCTCTACCTCAATATATAAAACTTGTTGGGAAAAAAAAAAAAGCAAAAATCATATCTCTAGTGATGACACAATGTAAAAACATGTTGATGCGCTATTTAAACTCAATTGAAATTGTTGTAAATCTAAACATTCAAATGTATTTTTAAAGTTATTGTTCCTCAGGTATCAGATATTTTGATAGTTGAAATAAAAAAAATTTACAATGCCATAGAATTATTTTGATTATCTCACCAATGTTATTACTTCATATAAGCTAATAATATCTCATTCTATATAAATAGTTATTCTTAAAATAAACTAAAAATTTTTCTTATAATATTCTAGTAAAAAATCTGGTATTAAATTTAAAATTCTTCTTATAGTCCAAAGTAATATCCTCATACATAAAGCAATAATAATTATATACTAATAAATAAGTAAATCTTCGCAGTATTTACAATAAAATGCTTTTTTTGAAGTCTCGAAAATCAATTAAAACTTTTTAATCGAACGATATCACTCATTAGTAACGTTGCCTTCAAGTATATTATCCGAATAACACTGATCTAAATTTCTGTCTCGGCATAACCATTACATAAACTAAATAAGCCATTTCTACGTTATGAATAAACATGTAACCTGAAATACGTGGAAGCCTAATTTGTTTTGGTAATATAAAGAAAATAACCATGTTATTATTAAAAACACACTTATTACATAATATAGTTGTAAAAAAACTTAACTTAATGAAAAGATATATATTTACAGATGTAAATTTATAAAAACATATTGTAGATAATTAATAAATTTACATATTTATTAAATTCTAACTGTATATATAGTTTTCTCATGTTATGAATATTTATGTATTATTCAAATTTCATGTATAAATGTTTGGTTGATTGAAAAAATATATACCTTGTGTACACTTTTAGGATCTTTGATCCACGCTTTATACATTTCTTCTACGTAAACAGAGGAACTGCCATTGAGAAATGATTCTTGAGCCGCTCTTTCCATATAACATCGTCCAAGAACAACACCAAACTTTCCTTTATTCACAAAGGACCACATGGGTCCGAAATTTATAGCAAACGTCCTAACTCTTTGCATATTTAAAATGTCTTAATCGGAAACTTCGTTTCCGAAGTCACCCAAGAGCAGATATTTATAAACTCAGTTCGAAAATAGGATCTACCGCTACTGGATTTCCAGCGTCACCTGTAAAATAATCAATTTATTTAATTATTACTTATTCAACTTTATATACAATTCAATATCATTTTTTTAAAATAATAAATCATATGTTATGAATTTATATAATGTATATATTCTTACTTGTATTGATGCACTTTCCCACTTATTGCAAAACTGACCGTGACGTCAATAAATGTCTTCGTTAATGAAATGTCAGAAATAGCGATTCGAAGTAAAACGGAAATTTCTCTGCTCTCGGTTTAAATTATATTTATTTATTTATTTTTATAAACGTTTTAATTTTAATTTACTATTTTAATTAAAAAAAATTATTTTTTTATTATTGGTTTTTTTTGGTTTCGTTTTTTAGATAGAAATTTAATATCCGTTTATATAGAAAAAAAACGAATAAAAAATATTCTAGTATCGTTTAATTTTAAGGATTTCTTTTGTAAAATCTAGACTCGGTGATTTTTCGTGGTTCTAAAATGACGAATTCCAAACGAAAATCGTAAAAAAAAAAATCGCTTAGTAATAAACGAAATTACATATTTTTGTAAAAATACACAGCACGTTAAAAAAATAAATATAATTGCAATGACAAATGTAAAAGTGTAATGAAATACATACAGTAGAGCGTCGTCTAAAATGACGAATTCCAAACGAAAATCGTAAAAAAAAAAATCGCTTAGTAATAAACGAAATTACATATTTTTGTAAAAATACACAGCACGTCACTTTGATTAGTCTCAATGCAATTTTGCAGTTTAAACAGTAATTTCCTAAATCATAAATATATTTTTCTTTATGTTTTATATAGTTTATAGACATCATAACTCAGGATCAAGCAAAATTTGAAATGAACCAATTAGCATCCACTTTCCTTCCTATTGGTCTATTACTGATTCTGGATTGGGCGTGTTATGTATATGAGGATATCAAGAATTAAATACATATATTCTGTAGAAGATTCGAATCAGTTTTGGACAAATTAGTATTAAATATTATCATATTTTCTTTGTCTTTGTGATATAAATATAAAATAATTGTAGCATTTACATGGTATTTTGTTTGGGGCCCGGGGTCCTTTTTTTCCCTTTTTTGTGAACAAATGAAAATTGTGTAGAATGTTTATTAATAAAAAATAGTCTTATAGATTTTATTTTATTTTATTTCGTAAAAATAACATTAATTTATAGGGGTAGGAACCGCTAAGGTCCTAAGTTTTCTCGGGCCCGGAGAAAAATCCCCAGCTTTCCCACTCGACGGCCCTGAGAACTTAAAACGTTCTAAATTATTTTCCTGTTACAGTAGGTGTTTATTTTTGTCGTTTAATAAGTGTTCCTGTAATTGCCATTTTCCAAAGGAACTGTTGAAACGAGTTTTTCCACTTGAAAAATTTTAATGTTATGACGTGTATCATACAGGCACCGACCGATTCAAAGTAATTAAAGAAAAATACAAATGCAAACTGTAAATGTACCGTGGAAAATGAGAAAAACTGCTGAATAATAATCAATTAAATTCCGATTTTATTAATTGTATTGAGTAATGCCTATTAAAATATTGGACTTTATCATATTTGCTACTTCAGTTTCTATTGTTTAATTTTTATAAATATTTAAATTACATATCACTATTTTTATAATTTATATATTAATTTTAAAAATTAAATTCAACTGAAAAGAACAAAAAATTAATTAAATAGACTACATCAAAATATACAATAAATTAGTAATTATAACTTAATTTCAGAATTAATGTTATACAGTAGTAGTTTACGAAAGATGAATTTTTTATGAAATTCTTTTCTTGTTTTTGTCCTTATGTACTTGAAAGACCTTTTTTCAAATCCATTGTAGTTTCGGGCTGCACGGAGAGTGATGGAATCGACATGAAAATGGTGAAAGTATACTCCTAAATCAACTTCATTCTCATCTTTATGCATCCTCCTAATCAATTGATTAATAAAATTTCTTAGGATACTCGTAAATAAATAAAACAAAGAAAACAGACACCCCAATTGCTGTTTTAATTTGTTGAAAACGTGATCATTTAACAAAATAAATGTTATATGTGACTGCAACTGAACAAAACTCAGTTCAAGTTCTTACACTCAGTTTCAGTAGCTTGTCCAGGTCACGGGTTTGAAGTATTCGTAATAAGTTGTGCATAGAACTGTTTCGTAAATACATTTAAAAAAGGTTTGTATATAAATTTTTATGTTAAGGAAAGATATGTACTGTACGTGGGGAGTCCGATATTAAAGGTACAGGCCAAAATTACACTAATATTTATAATTAAAGAAAATATTTAATACATTCCACAAAAACTACATACTTTTGTTTATTTCTCGACATAATCGCCGTAAACGTTCAGACATTTATCCCAGCGTGATACTACTTCAAACATCCCTTCATGGTAATGTTGCTTGTCAAGTTGCTTGAAGTAGTCCAGAACGGTATCTTCCAATTCCTCCTGATCCGCAAAGCGTTTCCCTGCCAAAAATGTCTTTAAAGGTCCAAATAAATGAAGATCCGACGGGGGGGGCTAAATTTGGACTATATGGAGGATGTTGCAGGACCCCCCAATTCCGCTGCGCCAATTACAGTTTGGTTTGATTTGACATGTGGAGTATAGTCCAGATTTAGCCTAGTGGCGTAGCGTGGGTGTCAGCCGCCCGGGGCGGAGGAAAATTTCGCCCCCTTATTTAGGTATCTCAATGTAAAAGACTAAAATTCAGTTTCGTCACATAATAAGTAATGAAAAATTCCGTGCTAGTGTTGCTACCTTTTTAAAATCGCTAATCCGGACGGCAGGTGAGGTTAGTTCGAACAGAAGTCCCTAACAGAATGTTACTTTGCAATGCGAAGAATAATGTGCAGTGCATGTTGGTTCTAAATCAGTTATATAGGAATAAATCGTAGAAGCAAAAAAGAAAAAAAAAAGAAAAAAAAAGGTCGACAGGTTGCACAAGATATCCCCGTACGGCGAGTCGATTCCAGGACTGTCCGGATGGTAATACCGTGCTCATTTCAATCGGTCCGAATCGTAGGTGGACGAAGATATGAAATAAAATGGTTCAAATTCTTACAAGATATTATTATTTATTGTGAAATTTTGTCGCCCCCTAAAAAGTGCCGCCCCCACTACGCTACGCTACTGGTCTTATTCAAACGAAATCGTTTGAGCCATTTTACGACAAAACACGAAGAAAAAATTTACAAATTCTTAACAGGCGTATTCGTAAATACTGTTACATTACAAGTCGTAATTGCACCATAATTGCAATTATACCTAATTATAATGTAATATTTTCGAAGTTACAAAAGAAAGAGTACGTATTTTACTAAAAAACACTTGATTATACAATTACTATTTTCTTGATTAGTAAAGTTCAGATTGTGAAAAATAGATACTGCGAGTCAATAACCGGTTGTAACAACTGGTCATAGTTAGTATCACCATAATTGTTTAAAATCATGATGCAGCTCTGTATTCATTAACAATCGATTAATGAATTAATATAGCCCCGCTCATTCCCAAAACACAATTTTTTTAAACAATTTTCTTGTTTAATTCGCTTTAAATCAAGTGTATTTAGGAATTAAACTTTTTAAAATTTCCTTTTCACTGTCAAATATAGGCCGTTTAAAAGTGGCGATAAGAGAAAAGTGTAAATATATTGTAAAATAGCATTGCAAAATTGTACTCTTGTTGCACAAAGCTTATATTTATACTCAATACGTAGTAAATCATTTTTAAAGCTTTCTCTTTTAATTCGATTTCGAATTACTTCACACAGTGTAGCTAAGGAAGCTAACAGGGACACCAACTCAAAAGGATAATTTTATTAGAAAAATTAAAGTTGAATCTTTTGTTCTAAAAGCGTTGTGTTAATAAAATATAATAGCATATGTGCTTACTGTAATTATTTTTTGTTAGCCTTAGTAAACTTAACATTTAGCTTACGCCACTGCAACAATGTGTAGCCTATATCACGACAATCTAAAAGTTTTTACAAATTTTTACTAAAATTTTATTTAATAGACTAATTCTTGCGAGATCCAAATCCTAGATCTATTTAAAACTTTTCAATATTTTATTCATACAAAAGAGCCGTCCATTAATTACACGTACATTACAGTTTTTGAACCACTTTCGACCTTCTCCCTCTGTTGTGGACAATAGTGTATTTTTGGCAAACTCTTTCCTTTTTTAATTCGTGTGCAATCGTTTATGGACCTCCTGACGTTGAAGAAATGACTTTAAAAAGTTCTGAAAATATTTTTTGATATTTTATTCATACAATTAATAAGGAGACTAGTAAGAACAAATTCGTATGATAGTAATACCATTGAATAGGTGCTCAACTCTCTCCCTCCTTTTAATATAGGCTACAATGATGTACTTTTTGCGATCCCTTCTTTCCTTAAACTGTGAATGTAATTAATGGACGGTCCAAACTACTTTTTTTTAATTAAAATTTTATTTATTGCAATTATTTCTAATAAATTATTTTTTAAAATTATAAATCCAAATATTGATTTTTTATTATTTATAATGTTATCTTTAGACTTTTTTTTATCTTATTGATACCATAATCTAAGTCTTTATCAGAGACTGGAATATCAGTTTTAGCCACTTCCTCAGTCTAACATCTACAATAATAATTTATATAGGCCTATTTCTGAATGTGTGTCTGTCCGTCATGGAAATTAAAGAACTTTTTAATCCCTTGATCTTATCGCGTACATCAAAACCACATTAATTAAAATACGATATCTATGTCAACTAAAGACAGCTGGTAAAACAGCGTAAATTAAAACTTCTGCCGCGTATATAAAGAAATTACCGCAATTAATTTCGCTTGTTAATCAAATCCCGCGTTAGGCAAGGGATACCTGTATATTCTTGGTGTTATAGGCAACCTTGAATCTGGTAATTACTTCTACAAAATATAAATCGAAAATGCAATTCGATGTTTTTATGATTATTGAGCATCGCCATAAAAGCGGAAGAATTAAATAATTATTCAGAAGAATATGAATGAATGAATTCAATTCAAACCATCTTATAATTTAAAAATCATATAACTAGTCGTCTAATAAATGGAAGTTTATATGACGACTAATTATGTAGGCCTAATAAGAGTATAATGAAACGTTTCGCTATTCATTTATTTATCTATTTTTAGTTATTTCTGTCATATTAGTCGTCTTACAAACTTCTGGTTTATTACAGTTTTGAT